AGTTACACTTTGTGAGTTTTATTGTGTGAGAATGTTTTGTTTTAGGGAAACGGGTGTGCGTGAAGCCACCTAATTTATTTAATCAAGTGTGTGACACCTTGCTTGTAAGTTTATTGCAGTATGGAGGAGTGTTATTAAAAAGCCATCATTAGCTCCACATGTCACAAAGAGTGACATTGAGAATGAAGGGTTCTGGCCTTATGTCCTGTTTCATCTTCAAATGGCTGATACATTTCAGAACTTGATTGCCCACAAGAATGGGGTACTGTTAACCTTGGCTAGGAGATAGATATAGTGGAGATTAGTGCTGTGTAAAGTTTCCACTCTACATCTTTATCAGTGTACCTCAATCTTTGACCAACAACATATTTTGCTATTCTGGTTGTGGGCTATGGGCCTGCACATAGCTTTGCCTGCACATATCCTGCCTCCTTCAGATGAAACATTAATCTGTAGAGCTTTGATCTGTTTCCCTAGGTAGAGCACTTCAAATCCACAGGTATCTGCTTTCTATCCACCAATGTGGATGCAGATATTTGCAGCTCATTTTTGCGGATACGGATGCAGATATACAACTTTTTATCTGCACAGGACCCTATGCACAGGTGACTGGTGCTTGCAGGGGGAGGAGATGCATAGAGGGCCATCCAGAGGAACTGAGAAGCAGCATGAGGGGGCACCTTACTTAGCAATTAAAATTTTGACAGAGGCACCGGAGGTGGGGCACGTTCCGAGTGCTGCCATGAGTCACCTATACCTATCTCTTGTGAACATCCAGTTAAAACGGGGTGGATAAAGGGGCCTCCAGGGCTGGATCTGGCCCGCCAAGTGGGTGGATCCAGCTCATGGATAGTCTGCCACTGCCCCGCCTCCAGGCCAATCATGGACTGAGCGTGCAAAGTCTCCTCCCGCCCTGCAAGGGGTGCACAGCACTTAGGGTATGCCTACACTACACAGTTAATTCGGAATAACAGCAGTGTAGCGTCTACACAGGCAAACTACTATTTTGAAGTAAATTCGAAATAGTGGAGCGCTTATTTCGAATTTGGTAAACCTCATTCTACAAGGAGTAACATCAAATTCGAAATAGCTATTTCGAATTAAGTACTGTGTGGACACTTAATTCGAAATAGGGGGCCTCCAGCCCTTCCCAGGGAGCCCTAATGGCCACTCTGGGCACAACCAGGAAAACGTACTCTCCTGTCCCCCAGCCCCGGAGACATTAAAGGGGTAGACCCTGGCCATAGTGCCAGTGCCAGCTCCAAGCCTGCCAGCCCAGAGCCAGCAGTGGCCACTGGGGCCCCTGACCCAGTGGCCCCAAAACATGAGCCAGCCCTCCACTGGCAGGCCGCCCTCCACCCCCCCCCAGGAGCAGGCTGGCCG